TACATTTTGGAAAGTGGGAAATTGAGAATGATGCCAACATTTCAGTTACATATTGGTACCAAGAAAAAACCTCTCCACAAGAAGGAGGGGGAGTGCCTTGCAAATGTAAGGCAAACAAAAGCAAAGAGCTGTAAGTGAAAATCACTCCCCAGGGTTTGGAAATGCAGGGTTACTAAGCTTGAGGGAACAGAGTCTTGGGGCATAAAGGCTGATCTAAACTTGGTTTTCATGCAGAACTTAGTAGTTAAACAAACGTTGCTTCTGAATGCGTGTTGAGAGAATAAGTTTGCATTTTGAAACTTGGAAAGGGCCTTTGTGACTTTTCCTGCTTTAGACTAACCCTGCTTGATATTGTCTTTCATATTGGACACAAGACTCTATTATTACTTATGGTTGTGAGAAGCAGTAACACCACAAGAAAACAAAGTACTTGGTAATACATGTTTCACCAAAGGTGTGAGCATGTTCTCCAGAAAGAAATGTTTGCACTACTGAACAGGAACTCCTGGTATTAAACTAAGCTTCTGAAACACATTGTTTGTATGAGTCTGTGTGGCCAGGACAGACAACGGATGTCAGCTTTGGCCCTTTAAATGCAGAAAATGTGAGGAACAACATACCTACTGGTGAGGAAAAGTATAATGTTGTGATTTCAGTTATGCAGGAGCCTGGGCACAAGCAGTCACGCCAATCTGTTGTTCATGGAGCCTTGTTGGAAGGACAATTGCAAACAACACCCCAAGCAGGCAAGCAAGGAATAGGTTGCTCGAAGAAATGGATGTTAGCAATTGGGGTTGAAGGAAAAAACTTCCAGTAGAAGAAGTGGGGGCAGGCCTCCCCAACTGGAACTCCATCAGTTTCTGAAAAGGAGGTATGTGAGAATGAAGGATGGCAGGCTCCCCCCTCTGTCCACGCTTTGTCTGAGGACAAATGTTCCTACTTCAGTCACAGAAACAGTAGGGAACAAGTTACACAAATTGACTTAGAAGCAAACTTGAAATGAGAAAGGTCTGATGAGACAGTTACAGTGGCAGAGATTTTGGAAGTCAAAGCTGAAAGGGTGGGGGAACAGCTTTATACAGAGTACAGTGAAAACAGGGCTTGGAGGTGGTTGCAAATTTAGAATCTCAGGAGATTACAAAATTAACTGACCAAAAATAATTTCTATCAGGCTAAATGGAGACGAGGTGTAGGGCATGTCTACATATGCATATAGGCTCATCTAAATTTAATGTGCATTAGCTTAATGTGTATTAAGGCAATTTAGGCTCACATCTACATATACATGTTAAAGCGCATTAACGCTATAAGCCCAGACTGATGTGGGACTAAAGTTAGTCCCAAGCCAGTCCATACACAGTGTTAACACACCTTAACACATCTACATGTGTGTTAATGTGCTTTAGCTATTTGCACCTAAATTTGATACCAGCAAAAGCAGGTATCAAATTTAGGCACGAGTAGCCTAAAATTACCATTTTTGAGGAGCATTAAGGGCATGCACTTGTAGATGTGTGCCCTTAATGCACCTTAAATGGGGCTAAAGTGCCTTAAATTGGCACAAGTAGATGCACCCGTAGAGAACTGGTACCCAAAAATGTGTTAATTCATGTGTGCAAGGAAGAGTTCTGTTAAAACAAGGAGCCCTCCATTGAGCAATAGCTCATGGACATACTGGCAGACCATATATTTGTTGGTATTCTTGGGCCTTTGCCCGAGATGGTCTAATAATCGATATTGGTTAGAAGCCATGAGCTATTTTACAAAAAGCCCCAATAAACAAAAATAAATCAAGAGGCTGTAACAATAGCACAGATTTCAGCAAAGAAAATCTGCGCTGGATTTGGAGAAGCAAAATACAGAAACCTCAAGAGACTCTAAATCAAGTAAAATTCTTTTTTTTTTTTTTTTAAACTATCATCCTGTATTTAACTAACTTTATACAGTAAGTATCATAACTACTGCACTTACAGTGCTTTATAGGTCATAAGCAGGCTGGTATTTGTCATGCAGTGTTCACAATTGAAAATCAAAACCAGCCATAACAAAGGAGGAGAATTCAGTTAAATCATACACATACATTGTCTTTCAACCCTATTTTATTAGAGAATAGTAAAGGCTGAATTTACCTTTACAGCTGCCATGTAGGTTTGTCCATTTATGCTCATGAGTATAATATACCATATTGCACTGGGAAAAAAAAAAAAAAGATCCCTTCTGGTATTTTTACTGTATGCATAAAAATATTGAGAGTAAAAAAATTTAGCTTATAGGGAATCCAATGATACCATGGATACAAGTTAAAGCTTATGGTTTGTTCGGGGTGTTTTTGGGTTGGTGGGGAGGTGAGGGAGTAGGCGTAGATTCAGAATACAATAGTTGAGACTTTCTCTGTACCTAGGGAAGCTACTTCCTCTACATCAGCAACAACCAACTGCAACATTCATTCCTTTGTACAGTGCCAGCACCCAGCTCCCATCCACATCTTTCAACATCATTTGATATAAGCACGTAATTTTAGACAATTATAGATTTCCATTTTTCCCAGGACATGTACTGCATCTTCAATCCAAACCTTTGCAGGTTGATTGTGCCCCTTTCTGCATCCTTGGCTACACCCCACAGGACAGGTAGGGAAATAACATCCTTTGCAATTGCTTTTGGGGCTTATGCAGAGCAGCTCAGAAGCCTCTCTGCTGGGTGTGAATGTGGCAAGCAGCAGAAATGTAGACTCCAGGGCCTTTTTACTAGGCAGCTAAGCCTCCAGGAAGATGGGGTACTAGGTTTAGCCAGTTAGCAAAGTTATGGTTTGAAGGTTCTGGATTTAAGCTACTTTTAGGTACCTAAGGCTAGATATGTAAAAATACTTTAGTTCCTTCAATACAAGAAAAAAATAGCCATGGGAGAATTTTTTTCTTTTACATTCCATCACCTTGGTTTTCTACATTCTAACATCAAAGAAAAGGGGAGGACACTGTAATGGATAAAATTTCATGGGATCTTGGAAGAAGAGATGATTGAGAAAGCATGTAGGATCATAGGAAAGCAGGGCTGGAAGGTCATCTGGACCAGCCTCCTCCTCAAGGCAGCAGGATCCCTGGCTAAACCGTCCTTGACAAGCGTCTGTCCAACCCACTCTTGAAAACATCCAGGTTGGATATTCTACAACTTCTCTAGGTAGCCAGTTCTAATGCTTGATCACCTTCATGATCAAAAAGTTTCTCCTAATCTCCAACCTACATTTCCCCTGCTGAAGCTTGAGACTATTGGTTCCTAGTTCTTTCCCCTGTGGCCATAGATAATAGTCTATTTCCATCCTCTCTATAAATCACCTTTCAGGCATTTGAAGACTGCTATGAAATCCCCTCCTCAACTTTCTTGTCCAGACTTACTTACCTTACTTTTTTTAGCCTTTCCTCATTAACTGCATCCTTCTTGAAGCGTGGGACTGAAAAGTGAACACAGTATTCTAGAAGAGGCCATACCAGCACTACAGAGCGGAAGAATCATTTCCCTTGATTTGCAAGCGACTCCTGCTGATGCAAAAAAAGGCCGGCTGTATGCTGTGTTGTAACAAGAGGGCACCATTGGCCAATATTCACTGTAACCCACAGGTCCTCCTCCACAGTACTGCAGCCTAGCCAGTCATTTCCCAGTCTGTATTTGTGCATGCAATTAAATAATCTCAAGCGCAGGACTTCACACTTGTCCTTGTTGAATCATGTCAGATTGTAACCACTTTTTCCAATCTGTCCAGGTCATTCTGAAGCCTAGTCCAACCCTCCAATGTTTGAAACTCCACACAGCTTGGTCTCATCCACAAATTGGCTAAAGATCAACTTGAGGCTGTGTCTAAATCATTAAAGAGTATTTTAAACAATACTAGAACCAGGACAGGCCCACAGGGAACCCCCAGTTGATACCTCCTTCCGCCTAGACATTAAACCATCAGCGAGTACTTGCTGAACATGATCCAAGCAGTTGTGTATCCATGTTACAGTACTTTAGTCTAATCTGTATTTCCTAAACCTGTTAAAGAAATTATGTCACCCATGACATTCTCGTTACACTGGTTTATCTTTTGTTTCTTGTAGGCCTAGTAAAAAAGCCCTAACAAATATTTGATAAACTGTTACCAATGATTGTTCAAGTTTAATTGCATCATGCCTTGCCCCATTCTGTTACATTTACCTTAAAAGTGTAGTCCCCACATTAACAAAACCTTTACCTATTTACAGCAAGAAGTTCTGTACTGAGCCAAATACTATACTGGCTGTTGCGTGGACAAGTAGGCAAATTGTAACAAATGCCAATTTGACCAAATGTCTGCTTCCTAGGAAGAGTGAGGAGGCAGATGTTTGGTCAAATTGGCATTTGTTATATTTGCCTGATTATCCACACAACTACCAGTACAGTATTAGGTTCAATACCCAGAAGTCCTTGCACAAGAGGTGAAGGATTTGTTAATTTACTTAAACATAGGTACTATCTTTTTTTTCTTTTTTAAAAAGTTACTGGAAGTTCAGCAGCACTGTACTGCTACTGGGATTAATTATTTCTTCAAAAGGAGATAAACACTGAAGAAGAAATTAAATAGCTTGGATCTGCCTGCAAATAGGTCTAGATGGCAGTAAAAAAAACCATTTCCATCTGATGCGATCTCAGGGTTTTTAGGTAAATCACTTCAGTTGTCTCTGTTTCTACATCTACACAATGAGGAGGAGGATGAAAAAAAAAAAGGGCATTCTGCATCCAATTTGATTGCTATTGCAGAAACATTCAAAATGAAACTAAATCTTTGTATTAAGTCATGGAGTTATGCAAGGCAAAACCTGTTGCATTTTTCTCTCTGCTATAACTTGTTCCAATACACTCTTGCCTATATAACATGAAGTGGTAGTGTCTTATTAGAAGCCATTTAAACTATATAGACCAAAACAAGAGTTCTGAACATATTAAGCAATAGTATTGTAGATGCATGAATGATTTTACAGAAAAAGAAAGGTTTCCAGACATTTATTTCTGGAACTGTACACCAGGTATTAAAGTACAACAAATACAAAATAATGCTCAAAAAAATCAGTGTTTATGTACAAATATTAAAACCAATGCAACAATAGCAACTTCCTCTTGAACATCTGATACTAAAACTTGTGCCGATTGTCACTAATTCATGTCATTATGCACAGGGTACTTATTTCCAACTGGAATCACTGGCTGATTAGGATAGGAGGACCATAATGATACCTACTGCATTTTTAACAACTGGCAATATATTCCTCCTTCCAATGCAAAATAGGAATTAAAAACAAACAAACAACACATCGTAATCTTGTCATTAATTTATAAATTACGGTATTTAGTTTCCTGTCTGCAGACAATGTGCTTGTAGCTCTGGGCAAATAGCATCCCCATTGGTCAGTTTATCCATTAGTTTACATTCAAAAGTTGAAATACTCACTAGAGACTTTGGTTAAAATTAAGTAGTATTACTATGTTCTACTGGATCTGAAGTTTTTACACATTTTTGACCCTCAGTTTTAAAAATTAAAAACAGGAAACAATTGCACAATTCATTGACCTAATTGTACATAATTTAGTATTCTTCAAACAGTATTGTACATCCTTCAAGTAAATTCAGCAGTTTGACCATGACAAGAGGAAAACTCAACGTTTAAAAATCTAGCATGAGAAGATGACATATGGACTAACAAAAGTAAAAGTATTGCTATAAACCACAGCACCAGTTACACTTCTAAATGAATCAGCTATCCTCTTCAGATTCCCTGTACATGAAAAAGAAGAAAATATCTACCAACACTGCAATTGCCCATTATGGATTTTTGGTTTGTTTGTATGAAGAGAAAAAAATGTGGCAAAGGACAAAGAATTCATCACAGTTTGTTATAAGAATTGTGCTTCACCATCTGAAAATCAAGGCAATAACTTCTTCATGTGTTTGTAATTCAGTTATCTTCATGACCCTCAAAACGCAATTCTTTTAATAAACAGTAACAAGTTCTCCATTTAAAATGTTTAAACTGAGAGAAAAATAAGTAAGTCCAGCTTTTAAAAGAAAAATTCAATAAATAGCTATTTTACATGGATAAAGTCATAGTGGTACAAATTTTATGAATGTCACATCAAGCATGCACAAAAATGTTACTATACACAGAAGTAGTCAGAAAATATTGAAATAGATATCTAAAAAGATATGCAGAATTTACATATTTACAAAATCTTGCAAATTATTGCCTCATTTTAACAAGGAATTAAAAGTAAACGATACCAGCTAGCTAGCCAAGAGGCTAAATTAGATCAGCATTTAAAAAAAAAAAAAAATCTATCAGACTAGCCGGAATTCATTTTTCTCTCATACAATTTTCTGAATTTTGGTCAAAAGTCTTTATTAAATAACTAAAGTGTCCATTCAACTTGCTGACAATCCAAACTTTAGACAACTCTCTGTCTATATTAAGATCCCAGCAATGCATAGATAAACTGAATATATTACTGCATCAGCTAGTGAGAATGGGCATGTTCATTTAAGTGCAACTGGTATAAGCATTCAGTCATCTTTTGTGTAATGATTTTTATACAGACCAGCCACTGTAAACCCATAGTTAAACTTGAATGTATAACAATGAAAGATTATGGCCAGTATTTTACAAAATTACATAAAATGTGTTGATTCATAAACAAAAGAAACAAGGTACAAAGTTCAGCACAAAACACAGCAACAAGAAGCTGACAACTCGGCTAAAAATGTCAGAGTACAACACAGGGCCAAGGCTACCTGTTATTTACTGTGTACTTACTAGAATTATACACTTCAGATGTATAAGTTAAAGAATTGATAACAAATTATCACTAACTACTTTTGTCCACTGTGCTAAACTAATTTTTATAGTAAATGTGCTATTGCGTAAACACTTTAAAGCAATCTTCATTAAAATGCTGTAAAGAAAACCCAATACGCTGCATCCAAGACTCAGGATGTCAATGCAGTTCACAGTATGCATAATAAATACCCTCTTCCCTTTCAAATACTACTTAAGTCACTACTTTCCTAGTTACTCAGTATAACCTTGAAGCAAATACTACAAATATCAACAATGCAGTCAAAACTTAAATCATTAAAAAAAGTTAGTGGCAATTAAATCTGTGTCATGGACAGTGCAAAGAAAAGCATATGGGGCAAGTCTACTGCAATTCAGCTGTACTTTACTACAACTCAGGACTGACCAAAAATTAACCTGAAAGTTGCACACTCTGGAAGTATATTGCATGCCAATATTAGTTTGTTTGAATAGCATCATAACTTTAAAAAAAAAGAAAGAAAAAGTATTACAAGAATCCTTGATGGCCATCCACAAAGTTTCTGACTAAAGTTTCATCAAATTTTCAAAAATTTTTTAATGAAACAAAACAATTCTTTGGAGTATGGAATGCAACTGTACTTCTCAACTCTATTTGAGAAAAGTGGCAAAGTGCCATTTTGAGACAATGACCAGCCAAAACAAATTAATGTTATCCATGCCAAAGAAAGCTTTCAGATACATACTTCAAGGTTCTACTGTATTTTTATATTAAATCTAGATAGTCCCTCAAGTGTAACACTTTGAACTGCAGTGCTTCAAACAATTTAAGGTGTGTCCCAAAACATAAACCATTTAGTGGTAGATCCTAAGCTGTGCAGACGGTGGCTTTATACAACATCAGCTGCCTCTGGAAAGAGTTAGGATACACAATAACTGGTGTTATTTATTACATTATGTTCTTTAAAGCTGTGGACAAAACCCCATTAGAATGTAATACCCTAAAATTCATTTGCTTTAGCCAATAAGTTTTAAGTACACAGACACCTTCTGGCAGTATAATTACTTCTGTGTAAGGTAGCCATGGCCTATAATTTTGCAACAGCATCCAAGTGTGTGTCTTCATCCTTTGCTCATGTAGTCCCTTGTGCTAGCTTCCACCAAGATGAACTTGCTGTTTTGTAAACTGAAGTGCTCTAGTTTAGTATCACATGAGAGAAGGTTCCATTTAAAAAACATCCTTGTATGTTTGTGCAGTTTAAATTAAAGAAACCATCCCTGCCTTTATTAAAAAAAAAAAAAATGCTACATTGAGCAGGGAATCAGGACTGGTACCTGTAAACATCGTTATTCCACTGCATCTGTTACGGCAAAAGTAACTTAGACTAAAAAGCCACTCCAATCAGTTCAGAACTTCTGTGCTGGTTTTGAGATGGTGGACTCTGTCTACAGGCTTTAAAAAAAGAAAAAAAATTGAAGCAGAGCTTAAAGCTGCACCACAGAGTTCTCTTAGTTCCAAACTCTGCCGAACATCATATGACATTTCCACATTTATGGATTGAAAAATGAAATTACTCTTGATAAATCAAGATATAGTTCTATACATACAAAGACATCACTGATGTCATAAAGTTCAAACTTCCAGTGAAAGACTAAGCAAACCTGATAGTTTCCATCAAGTTTACTGCTACTGCATAAAGTACCCACTGTTTTTGTAGTCCACTGCTGGAATCATTCTGAGTGAAGGGCAGTATGTTGGTGTAGAGTGTGGGTGCTGATGAAGCCATTTGTCTCGTTTGCAGATAGACTGCTAAAGTCAGCCACTGAGACAGCCATTTTGGCACTGGTAATATGATGTGTGTGATTCTCAAAGTCCACACCAAGGTTATTTACAGAAACATCATTCATAAAAGATTCAGGGACCGCAATCCCCATTTTTAATCTCTTGGCAGGTCTCTCCGACTCCTCACTGCACATGTTTATTGGGTTTAGCTCTGAGTGATAAAATCCAGTCTCAAATAAATTAAAACAATCACTTTCGCCATTACTGGGCAAGTTAAGCAACTCTTCTGTTACAACAGGCACATGATTAACTGGTGCTCGGGGTAAGCTGTCCAGAGGAGAAAAGGCATCATCCAAGCAGTTCACATCTGTAGAGTGGCAGACTGTAGCTACGCTATTAGTCAATGCTAAAAAAATAAAAGGAACAAAATTTAAATACATTATCTGTTTCCATGATGTACAGTTACATCAAAAAGCTATTTTAAAAACTTTGGTATTTTTTAATCTAATTCACCTGTTAAGTCATTGGCAGTGATAGAATTCAGAATGCTTAGCTGTTGATCAGGAATGGACTCTGTTCTGCTGTTAGAAGTTAAGGCTGTAGAATGTACTGCACCACCAAGGGCTTCTGCTTCATCGACCAAGCGATCCATGTAGTCCCTAGGAAGACATTGTTAGGTTAAAAACAGATGTTTGACATGAAAATGTGGCATGGTGACAAGGAGACATTTTATTTCCTTAACAATGCCACTGCTGCATTCTCCCACTCCAGATTCATTAAAAAAAAAATCCAATCCATATTCTGAAGAAAAGAGATATTCTAAGAACTCTCTACTTACGTTACCCCTGGATGATGGTTGTACCTCTTCTTTCCAAACCTTGTCTGCTGAGCAAAGTAATCGTAACGTTCCGATTTCTTCCACATGTAGTAGAATGCCACACATTCAGCAACTGTCCTAGTTCTTACCTAATATGGGGCAAAAAGAATTTACATGAATGTAGAAAATTTAAGTTTTGGCATTACATTTTTGTTTTTCCTACTTCTGCATTTTCTTTGGTTACATCGCTGCAGTAGTTCCATTAAGAGGTTCTACCACCATATTCACTCTAAAATGCAGTTTATAGTATTTTCAGTTGCTGTATGGTCATTTTTTAATGAAATATGTAAAAGACAGAAAGGTAGAAATGCATGCCTCAGTCCCTAGCCCTATATAGGTTCATACCTTAAGAGAAAAAGAGAGCAGTATAAATAGAATATTTTTTTTTTTTTTTTTTTTTTTTTTTTTTTTTTTTTTTAGGAATTGAGAGAGCATGTGCAAAGCTAGGCATTGAAAAAAAGAGTTATACTAAGACAGTTCAGAACACCCATTTTATCACTCTTGTCCATGAGCCTACATGCAATATGTACATAAGATTGAAGTTTCCAGATACCTTCCTGTTTTCCTTATGCAAGAAGGGTCAGTTGCTAATAGTATAAATCCTTAAGTTCTTTCAACCACAAATGGATAAATAATAAATCAGTTTTTCAATACATGTCAATACTTCCCTTCCCAGGTTCTACTGTAGAACTTGGGCTTACTGTAAGTAAAGTCAAGTTTCCTAAGGAAATAACTCAATATGCTAATCAGAAAATAAAACAAAACATTGAAAATACAATTATTTAGATTCTCAAAAATGTGCATTTAAATGTATTTGAACTGTACCACTTTTTTAAAATTATTTCTCTCTGTCCACAAAGCAGCTCCTATACTTCCATTTGTAGAGTAGATGGATCTCCTTCCAGAAGCAGTTTAGATCAATGTTCCTTAATGTGACAAGAGAATAATACTCCACTGCCTTGCTAGGACTTATGTAGCTAATCCACTGTGGCTGCAGAACTCCAACCCCCTGCTGGCTATGGCAGGGACAGGCTAAGCATATATGTGAAATTATTTTCCTGGTCAAGCCCTGAGAACAAATCCAGACGACTCATGGTAGTGCAGAACACAACCACAGAAAAAGCTAGGAGAAGCAGAGTTTAACACATAACAAAATTAGACTATACATGAAAACAATATGAATACATGTTTATTTCAGAGATTAACAGGTTGACTTATCTTGCAAATGCTGGATTTTTACTGAGGTTTGTAGTAAAATTGGCATGCAAATGACAAACAGACTGTAAGGCACTGCTGTTTATTTTACTCGAGTCTTTTGTCAAATTTCATTTCTTTCCAGATTTTGAAATGGTATCTACCACTCCCCTCTGCTCCCCATTTAGCTGCATAACACCTTACCTTGTTTTTCTGTATGAGATGAAAATCTTTCCCATAAATCAGGAGTGCATGTTCAAAGCTTCTGCATTCTTCTTCTGTCCACGCTGTCATCTCTTCTGGTGAATTCCCCAAAACAGAAAAAAAACCACACTTATTTTCAGTGACAATTTTTTTTTATTAGATATGGAATAAGAATTTTACTGATAACACACAAAAATCTAATTCTTAAAAGGGAAAGGCTCAGTTCTTTAGAATGTTTATTATTATTAACATGGAAACACCTAGTTAATGTATTATCCTTTAGAAGACTGCATCCATTAATGATGAACTCTGCGTATGCAGCTCTTCACTGAAAGATGAAGACAAATTTAATTCACTTTGATTTTTCTTTTTTGTATGCATTCAAAAACATCTCCAGGATGTAAAAATCAGTATTTTTTCTGCAGTGGTTTAATAAGATCTGTTTTCAGTGGGTTAAAGGCAAGAGATAAAGGCCTTCAAAAAAGGAGGTAGGAGTCAATTCTCTGTGTATTTAGTTTTGTAGAAAGTTTTCAGCTCTTCAAACTAAACTGACACCTCAGATTCATTCTTCAAACACACCAAAATGTATCAGAGGAAACATCTAGTTTCTATAAGGTTGCAGATTGAGAGCCGAATTGTGTTCCTAAAAATAGTGTCTTAGCACTATCACAGGTGGTTTGAGACCATGCAACTTGAATGGTATAACACCCTTGCTCTTTCCACTTTAAAAACTTGGTCTGGGCATCCTGAAATCTACCCAAGACAAAAATACTCCCCAGAAACTTCCTGTTTAGGAAGCATTACTACGTGTGTAAACTCATGACACCTCTCCTTATCTGACTTTAAAATTCTCTAGGCAGCAAGAATTCTGCTTCTGGACCAGCCCAGCCCTGCTCAGTCTGTGTAGCTCAGTGCCACCCTTCTTGGGATCCAGGAACTAGGCATTCTTCCAAGTTTCAGAGCAGCACAGAACCCAGAGACAGGATTGGGCTCTTTGCTAAGTGCTCATTGCTGGGTTTTTTGTTGTTTTGTTTGTTTTTTAAAAAAAACAACCAAGCACACATGGCTGAAGGAGGTGGTGTGGCAGTGACACTCACCTTTTACACATTAGCTAGCAGTTAGAGCACTTGCCTATGAAGTAGGAGATCTGGGTTCAATATTCCTCTCAGCCTCAGGAGGTTCAGTGTTTTATCCAATGTTTTTCTTTACATGTAAAATGTTAAAATAACCAAAACAGTCCTAGGACCAGGCACCAGAACACAGGATTCTGCCTTCACAGGCCAGTGGTTGGAGCACTCAGTTGGGAAGTCAGACAGACACCTCTTTGTGCACTGCTTGTTGGCCCTATGAATTTTGCACTTTTGCCTGCACTTTGGCTAGCTTTCAAGAGGAAGGACTCCAGCCTTATGGTTAAGGCTAATTTTGGGAGGTTGAGGATATGGGTAGGTAAGTGCTCTAGCCACAAGGATATTACATAAAAGGTGGACACTGCTGCTTCTGCCAGCACCACCACCTCTAGCTGTTTCAGAAGAAGTGTCCAGCTCAGTTTCTCAAAAGAGGATCTTGGGCTCTGGATTCTGAGTTTATAAAGGAGCATGCTCACAACCCTGACTTGAGTGCAAGAGCCCCCTGTGAGGCAAGTTTTCAGATCTGCCCTGGTGATTTGCCATTCTTTATTGGCTAAGCTTTGGGCTACTCCTCCATCTGCATATAGGTTTTTAGATCAGCCTTGTGAAATATCCACTACGTCACATACAAACTATAGGGAACCTAGGCACTTTACACGGGTTTCTGGATTCTACACCATGGGCCAAAAATTTCAAAGTTGGTGGCTAAACCACCCAACCCCTATATTGGATTTAGTATCTATATGTATTTAAATAGGACAAAATATGACAGATTTTATTTAGCAATACACACACGTTTGTCAGATTCTAGCACAAAACAAAGCAACTCCTATAAATAGAAAATGCTTGCTGTTATTTTTTTTTTTTTTATGATGTAACCATTTGTTTTGTTATTACTGACCTTAAAGTGTACTGAATCAGGATACAAATATTTGCCAAAAGATGAGCTACTAGCAGGCAAACAAGTACCTGTATTTCTAAATTAATTTTGAAATATAACCCAGAGTACGTGAATTAATTTTCCAATTGTTTTTAAGTGTCCTTTATCACTCAGTTACAAAGTAACAGAGTAAAAAAAGTCTCTTTTGACAGCAAATAAATTTGATCATCTTCAGATTCATATGGAATTTTTGTTAAAAGGTGATCAAATCAGCTACCTCTTATATTGTGTTTGGCTAGGTACCAAATTGGGATTCTGTTAGACCGATTTCTAGAGATGCTGATTTCACTGATAATGCCATGACTACCACCCATCCCTGATATTTTAACCCAGTGAGCCGACAGAAAGCCTGATCCAGGTGACAACTTTCAATGATAGGGAAGTATCCTGTGTAAACTCAAGCTCCAGCACCTTTTTAAAGCCCCACTGAAATCTACCCTGCAAGCATTCTTATTAATTTTAATGAGAGCTTTACAGAAACATGCAGTAAACACAAAATATAGCAAAAACTTCCCACTATTCAGTCAACATTAACACCCATTTCCTTCTTACCACATGAATATGATAAAGACAAAAGCCAACGTTCAAATTTAGAGTCTCATTGAAATAAATGGTGGCATAATCTTCATTTGAAACTAATACTTAGTGAACAATAAAGGCTAAAAACAAATGAAATTGCAAAAATCTCACAATGATTACAGAATTGGGTATTAAAGAGGCAGTGAGGTGTGTAATATCCTTACTGTATCACATTTGCTAGTTTCAGCAGAAAGGTATTCCAAAGTAGCCAAAAAATATTCTTAGCAGCATCCAAAGATCACCTCATAAAACTTTAGTCTAACAAGACAGCCTCATCTGCATTTCAAAAAAAAGAGAAATGCTCAGGATAGGTCCTTCTAAAAAATTTAAATGCTCCCATCTATTGCAAAAACCTTATTGGGTTCCTCCCTGTACCTTCAATTCCCTTTCACATCAATGGCAACTGCATTAGATATCAGCACCACATGGAAGATGTTCACTTTGCAGGATCAAGCCCATAACTTTGCCCTTGCCTTTCTATTTATGTTTATGTGCATAGATCAGGCCTATTTAATTTTTTTAAAAAAGGCAAAAAAAGCTTGGCGAAGTAAACAATGCAAATTAAAGTTTTCAACATAAGAAAAAACCTCTACATGCAGATTCACATGGCTACACAAAGGAAGTATCTTATACTGGTAATAGTGTTGACTCCTTGCAAGAAAGGGTAGGACTACCTCACAGACTGTTTTCCTGATTCTAGGAACACTGATATATGTTAGGGTATGTGAAAGGCTGCTTTAACTCAAGGTAACTGGTTATGTTACCAAAAAGGACTATATGCCGAGCAAGAACTGCCATAGGGAAACTAAATTGTACTTTGTCCCACACATTGGCAACCCAGGTCTTTTTTTTTTTCCTTTTCTAAAACGCCAAAATGGGAGGAAAGGATAAAATAAAAAAGGGGAAGATATTGATTTTAGGTGCTGGATCTGCACGTTCCAAGTAACACAGCAGAAAATTTAAATTGGCCAGTTCCAGCTAGATTCTCTCTCTCTACTACAGACATGCAGTGCAAAGGGTAAGAAACTGGGAACAAGAATTTAGTCCAACATATTTCTACATTAGCTTTGAGACAAAAAAAAAAAAAATTACCACAAGTATTTCTGAAAAATCAGGTAGCTTTACCTTGATAGGCTTTTCCATTTGAGCAATACCTTTCAATTGCTTCTTTAATGTTATGGTTACATTTCAGAAGTTCATACAGCGCCTAGGAGATTGAACAAATATTTCTCTTTAAAAAAGGTAATGTAGAACTTGTGAGTAAACAAATCACAATTGTGTCAAGCTCTGTCATCCAGTTTCATGGCAACATTAAACATAGCTTTATATACAATGCAATTAAAAATTAAATAAAGCAAAACTGTTTAAATAAGGTTAAAATAGATCATATCAATCCTTAGAAGTAGTTTCTGAAACTGAATAGTTAGTTAAGAACCTGTTAATCAGAAAGGCACACTGTCACAATCATACAGCCTAGTCCTGCCGCCAGGTTACTAGTACTTACAGGTCAGCAGCAGTTTAACTGCTGGCAAGGCCATGCCTTACTTGTATTTCCCAGGAGAAAGATAAATGTTTGACTAGTGTACAAAGAGAACACTAGGTAGGAAGCAATGTCCTACAAGTGACTAGAATGTACCACTTACTTGTTCATTGTCCCGTGTCTGTATTCCTTCATGAATTCTGCCAATCATTTTTTCATTTCCAGTTCTTAAAGAGGTCTCAAAAAGGTATTCTTTCACTTTACTCTCCAAAATCACATCTGGTCTCCAAAGTAAGTGGTCTTCATTTTCATATGCTGTTTAGAGGAAAATCCATTGAGAGAAATATCAAAACCTACTGTATACTAAAATTTAACACCAGGAGGGGTCGGGGAGGATGGGAAGGGGAAGGAAGCATCCAGCTTGCTATATCTGACATTGTGGACCACACCATCACCTCATGCAAACTGGTCTGACCAACTTTTCAGAAGCCTAACATTAAAAATCAGTACCTTCCCTAAAGACAGTAAACAAAATGGCACTAGTCAAATCAAACACTATGACAATATGAGGGCCCAGGCACAGATACCATTATCAAATCCAAATTTTCCTCAACAGCCACAATTAAGAGGGGCCTTGCAACATGTCTCAACAGCAAATGAATTAGGATTACACTGGAACAAGGGAAAAGTCAGATTTATGAAAAAAAGGATTTACAGAATTTAAAATCTAAACGTTTATGTACATTAGGTTTCCATGAAGTTGAGTGTTTTTGCAAATACTCAAGGGATATTCATATCTTTACTTGCTTAGATTCAAAACACAATCCTTGGTAACATGGAGACGAATAACCCTACAAATGTGCAACAAACATACTTGTGTTTATTTTTAGTTCAAACCTTGCATACACTGAATAACCTATGTTCCTAATCGGTCAATTTCAACTCAAAACTGGTATGTATTATTAGAGTGACTGATCTAAATGCTAATATTGTGATTTCTGGCTCTAGTCATTTACTAGTCTCAGATTTTTTTATTTTTTTTTTTTAACATATTCTTTAAGAAATGAAGTTGTGGTTTGATACTCCTTAATTCAAAGCAAACTGGAAAAAGTAACCGTGCAGTTTAAGTGACTTAACATAGTATATCAGAAAATATGAGAAACATTAAATTGACTCAGTTGGCAAGAAGTATTCATTAACATTTAAATCTCAGACTGCCTACTCTTCAAAAATTTAACTTCATAAACAGGCATGTTTGACATAACATTTTAAACTCTCTCAAGGCAGCTCTACATGTGCAATTATTTTGAAGCAATAAACTCCAGTGTATTGCTCCTGGGTGCACCATTTGAACGTGCGCCTGGGATTACAGCACACTGAGCTGGGATGGAACACACTGAAGCATCCTCATGCCCTAGCCAGCTGGGTTAGCGTCTACATGTGCACTGCAAAGTAAGAAACTTTGCAGTAGGCTAGGACTCGTTTTTATGAATACTACCCAGATGCAGAGTTTATTAGTTTACTCTAGCTTAACAGCCTTGTACATGTAGATGCTGAGACACTTACTGCACACTATTTAGCCTACTCCACAGTAATGTCTCATGTAGACGTGTCCAGTCTGAAAGCAATGCAGAATTAAAGCAGGTGGCTAATTCAAGACAGTCAAAGAAATGATAAAGGCTAGTACAGTTTAGCACAGGGGTGTTAATGATTTGATCCACAGAGCCATGTCATCTGGCCCCCAAAGCTAGCCCTACTCCCCCCCTTTCCCCTTGCGTGCTGGAGCCAATGCCTATGAAGCCTGCTGTGGCTGGTCTAGGACTGCACCACTGACAGTCCTGAACCAGTCAGACCAAATGGGCACTGGATATGGCATGTAGGGGCAGAGGGGCAAAATCTGAGTCTGACCTGGCCTGCAGGGCTGGCAGCATGTTGTTCATCCAGCATGTAGGCCAGTCCATGGCCCACACATCTGGCCCATGGGGTCCAAATGAGTTTGACATCCCTGGTCTAGCAGGAACCCATAGCCCTGTAGGAAGTGACCTTCAGCAAGTGTGGGGAAAGAATAAACCATTACTATCACCTCAAAAGGTGCCAGTTAGGAGCTGCTTTTATAAAGCTTCATTATGAGACTTAATTTAGAGCATAACCTTCTGGCACAACTCCTACGGCTAGAACTATATGGCCATGTGCAGTCTACATATGCTGTCATTATACCCTCATAAGCCTGTGGTAGAGCCCTTATCTTTACCTATATTTTAGGCGATTCAATATCTTTAAGTGTTTAATTTGTTATTTAATAGGTTGGATTAATTAATAAATAAAGTTAAAACAAATAAAGAATCACCCTTACTTGGGCTGACAGTCAATTCATCACTCTAGGAATAATATTTCAACTAACATACATCTGCTACTGCAGCTCTTTGTCAGTCCCCTTGATAACCTACACCACACCAGCACTTCCCACTGGAGTGCTGGCCTGCTCTTCTCAGCTGAAATTCCTCAGGGTCTCCATCTGCGAGTTGCCTCTTTTCTCGTGGACTGGTCAGGTGGTAAAAACCTCGGGGTATGTCTACCCCAAGCACATCCAGCACACACCACAGCGCTGCACAAAGATACCCAAGCTGGCTCTTCATCTCGAAATAAGAAACAGCATAACCATATTGGCAGGGCTAACTAGCCCAGGACCAGAGCTATGCTGTTTTTAGTTGTGAAGCCAGAACATACAGGGCTAGCTTGGCTAGGTCTGAATGGCACTGCTTTGAATCATTTAACACATAGCCTGAGAGAACACCTGAGGATATCTGGCTCTAGCTTTTCAGCTCAGAGAAGTCAGCAGGTAAGCCCTTTTGCTGATCCGACTCTCACCTTACTTGCCGAGAAGCCACCAGGTCAACCTTTCTACTAGCGTAAACTTCATTTTTCCCCAGTCTCAACTCTGTTTCAAGAAAGCCCACAAGCAGACCTCTTTCAGTTCTCAGCCTTTTCAAAGAAACCCAGGGACCTCTCATCCATTTAACTGCCTCCTCAAAAAAACCCTACAGATAGCCAATTCCTTTTCTGCTTCCTCTATTTATTAGCTTTGGTTGCACCCCATTCTCTTGATCAGGTCTAGATGGGGTATAGTAGGATAATGGATATACTTTACTTAAAGAACCAGAAACCTCGATGCAGAACTGCTAAAGGAAACAGAGCCCTCAATTCTTAGCCTTATTTACAAACTCAGGCTTTTGAATGAAGTATGAATGCTAGTACAAAGCTTGATGTGTTCATTTTCTGATAAAAAAATTTTATGGATTGAATACAAGCAGTTCCAACGAATCTTGAAATGCTACAGGAGATGCAAGTGTATATGCATATATACACACACTGTGCATTTAATTGATATTTCCCCCTATCAGCTCCTGGATAGGATGGTGTTTGAGGGTTTTTTCCCCTACTACAGCTGTTTTCATCCTCACTATTCAGCAGGATAGGGTAGTTAAAACAATCAATTGATTGCTTTTTATTCATTCATGTTCTTCCTACTGTAATCATGCTTAACCTCAGTTTTAGGTACAGGCAGCATCATGCAAGACAGACAAAGAAAAGCATGTTTTATAATCATGGTCACAGAACCTTGCCAAGAATACTCAGGACTAGAAAATGAAACTTGTATAGCACATTTAGAACAGAATGTATTGCTTTGTTTGACTGATTTTTTTGCATCCCACAAAGCTATGACTACATGAAAACAATAAAAATACTATTTGATTACGACTGAAAAGTTTCTGGCATACAAGAGCAGTTGACAGGCTCTTTCTGAAAGCCTCAAAGTTAACTCTAAATGACATGATCTCAGGCTTTACTAGTTCTGATAATACAAATCATTCAGAAATGTTATTAGATCCTTCAAGCATAAAATTGATTCATTTTTCTTCTTTTTTGAGAACTTTATACCAAAAAGTTCTTAGTGGACTCAAAAGACACTTTTATCATAACATTTCTGAAAATTATTTTAGTTCTTATTTTTGTTTTTGAATGTAGCCTGCTATCTTACAATTTTTGAGACTTTAAACATTTTTATTTAATTACTTCTGCACTGTTGAGTAGCAAAACATGTAAAATAACTTACCATTTTCATTATCGTTGTACTTCCCCAGGTAAGGTGGGATTTCAGCCTGATACTGTGAACCAACCATTATTTCCTGAACAGTTAGAAAATAGAGTTAAAAATGAATGTATTCAAAGATATGACATCTTTATCTACTATACAGTATTAATGATGCACAAGATAAGGCATAAATAAAGAACCTGGATAAAATCTTAATTGTAAGAAAACTTCACTGTTCAAATTTGAAGTCCATTAAGATTTGTCATATGTAAACAGATATTGCTCTCCATTACCTTCCTCAAATCTTCAGATGAATTACCAGCATCTGCCTCTACATCTTCACCATCTGATTCCTTATCTCCATCACAGGTAGTGTTTGCTTTATATACAAACATATAAAAAGAAGCTTTATTTAGCACTGGTTTACAGTTTGCATGTTGAATTACAATAAATTCTATTACATCTGCTTTATTTTATCCTACAACAAGAGCATCTGCTTTTATTTATAGATGATGGTCAACAGACTGTTCTTAATTTGTGTTTCTATGAAACTGCAGCATAAAAATATCTATATTCTTTAACTTGTTTTAATTCTACAATACACATTTATTAATCACTGCAACTAAGACCATTAGAGATATACTGCCAATTGACAAGAGGGAATGAGATCATTTTTCTTTATCAATTTGTTTAAATAAAGGCATTGCACTTACAGAAAGTCTGGTAAAGAACAGGAAAATACTGAGGCTAAATTTTAACCCCCAGTTAACCACAAGCAAAGTCATGTTGAAGGCCACTGTTTTATTCTAGTGTCTTTATGAAGTTCAGAAGTTACTCAGACTGTGTTATGGAAAGGCAGGTTGTTATGTGGCTGTATCATATCCCCAGACTTAGTTCCCACACAATCCCAGCTTCAAAGTCAGGCTCCTTCCATAAAGCACAGTGGAAAATAGACACATGTTGAGGGAAATAATGTAATGGAGGAAACAGCTCCCTCTCTGTGTGTCAGGCTAAGTTAAGGGGTCACTTGTACCCTAGCTCAAGACTGTCCAACTGGCAGTTAAAATGCAGCCCCTGCTCTCACTGTTTTGACTGCTGCTGCAGCTGGGGTCTTTAGGCTCTCCTGCCCTCCACCCCCAGCTTTCACTTTGTGCTCTTGCCCCAGAATGGGTCAATATAGCCTATAGCACTGGGGGAACCTGCACAGCAGTGCAACAGCCACCTACACAATGCAACGGACTGTGAGTGGATGGGGCGGATGCAGCCTGAGGGACAAGGGCTTAGCACTATGTCCCCTGGGATGTGCAGTCCACAGCTCCCAGCCACTTAATTAGGGATCCCTGCCTTGGCTAATAAACACAAACAAGATTGAAATAATATTAGTAATGACTCTTTAAATAGAGGATTCCAGCATTTAGAGAAGTTAACTCATGCCACTCACTAGTATATAAGGAGGGAGGCATTTCCTCAAATTCACTTTTTTTTGGGTGCAATCACACTTACACAATATAAATACATCAGATTCTATAGAGCAGTATCAATAGCGTTATGAAAAAATGACACCCATGTACAACATCCAGCAAAGCACCAATGCTCCCCAACTCCTACTGAAGTCAATGAATAGTGCTCAGCACCTCAAAGACTGCAGTACTTATGAAATTTAGCAGTCTTTCTTTAGGTCTATACAGTACTTAGAATGCATGCTTGGGACAGTACTATAATAAACACTGGTTTTCCTACATCTTAATGGTCGAGGAAAGAAGTCGGTTGCTTCATGTGAAGTAACTGATGGTGTCAAGTCATCAGCAGAAGACTGTGTTTCTTCATCATCACCCGACAAGAGGTCTTTGGCAATTTCCTCCTATATTATTTAAAAAAAGAAAAAAAATTGGTACTGTATGTAGGCAAGTAAGCCTCAGGAACTGGCAACTAGGGGGAAAAACCTTCAGTCTTTAGATTTTAGATTACAGAAATCAACACAGTGTTTTTGGTTAGTATTTCTATAAACATACTGATGGTGAACTGGCTTTTGCAATATATAATCAAGTACTGAGTTCTGGAGTGAGTGGTTATATAAAATTCTTCATCCTCCTCCTTCCACTAAAATAAACTCATGGGAGTAAGGCTCTGTGAGGACTGCCTCTCGGAAACCCACCCTAAGGTACTGCAAGGGAAGGAGATGTCCCAGGGGAAAAGGCCAGTGAACTGCTTCCAAAACTGCAGGAGCCTTACAGAACCAGCCTGGCTTTTTGGACCATCTTCTCTGTTCCTTACGTAACAACTCCACTGGCACTACTATAGGCTGACCTCTGGTCTTGATGTTCTTTGAAACTCTGGGGAAAAAATTAAATAGGCCACAACCATACTTTTTCAGAAGGATTTTCCCCTCAAAATGCAGGGCAGCATGTAGCTTTCCTCTGACAAATGAGGAAAAAGAACATCTTTTTGTAGCTGCATACGAGTGTCTCCAAGGAGAGGTTAGAAAGGAAAAAGTTGCAGAGAGAGTGTGTACTGGGAAGCAAGCCAGACCAAAATTTTTGTAGCCACAGCACTGAATGACTGGCATCCCACTGAAACTAACATGCAGGAACACTCTTATATGCCATCTGATGAGTTGGTTAGGCTAGATTACAGAAAATAAAAAATTGGGACTTCCTTTTCTCTGGAGATTTTATCATACAAATGGAACCATTTCTAGCCCCACACATCTTAAACCCAACATCAGTTGGTTTAAAAGCTCAGGAGAACTGAGAAAAAGACTGCAATAGTCACTCTCTAAAATGTTCAAGTTTCAGGTTTCATACTAGGTACATAATACATACAATCATTATACAGATGAAAGTTTAATTGCTTGCCTCCCACAAGTTAAATACTTCTCAAAGCATACCCAGTTGAAAGGAATGCTCCACAGCACTGAGAAGCAAGTTTTCAGAATCACTGCATGTCCATCATGTGCTATATTGTACATATTTGAAATCACATATATATGCTCCAGCTTTCTATGCACTAAAAAAAATTGTTTGGGATTTTCCATAAAGAAAATGTTTAAAACAAAGCCTACTTGAGCCTTTAATATATTTCAGTGATTCAAACAGGGGTGTTCTACTCTCAAATACTGGTGTAGCACTAATCATTTTCACTATTTTTGTATACTCATTAATAAAAACAGAAATAGTAAATAAACTCAGAATCAGATCCTCACTGTCCATTAAGATGATTTAAAAACACTAACATTTATTATTCTGTTTGCAAAATAATTCATGTCTTCTACTTTTCTATTATAAGGAGGGGAGGAAAGTCAAAGGTTAGTTATGCAGGTTTCTAATTTTGAATTTTCTTAGAGAAAAATGGTTTCCAACTTACTTTGTCTAAAGTCATATCTGGTAGTTCATCCGCAAGTTCACTTGGAGAACTATCTGCGCTGGAACCTGCTATAACTGGAATTGTAGGTTCATAGCCATAGAATGCCAATAAGTCTTCTAAAGGCATGTTTCCTTCCTAATCAAGAAAAAGGATGAATTGTTTCAACACTAGCAAATACCTGTTGAACACTTCTCTATTTATGACTCAATAATTCTGTGAAGCTGACTTTCAAATAAAAGTTAGAATAGCTAAGTACAAAGACCTGTGCTATCCCAATCCACTTTCTTTAGAAAGTCTGGTTAGTGAAGTATTTAGAACCCTTCTGGACATAAAGCCAAAATTAATTCCCAATAATGTCTGTAGGCACAGTTCTTAATCAGAAGATAATCATGTTGTCAAAATGAAAACATGTATCACGCCAAAAAATAATCATCACAGCTGCAACTGGACATATAACAAACAGCAGCAAACGTACACAATTTTTAATTTTATTTCTTCTGCCCCATGAATACATTTTATGCTAACTCTTTCATTTTCTGTCTGTGGATTTTTTCTTCCATAGAGGGGAGGAGCAAGAAGAAAGGGAGAGTAATAAACAAGATAAAACTGAGTAAGGCAGGCTGATTTAAAGCTGGGGAAGAAATTCTACATCAGCAATGTCACCAGGCTGTACTTTCTACTGGAGTTAATAAAACAGCAACTCCCATTTTATTAGTTGCCTGATTCATGACGACAGAAGTCTTATGGTATTTTCAAGCATTTATACACACCTTTTTAAACTGTTCTTATTGAACTTGCATACTGATTAAATGATGTTTTTCTTGTAGCCATCTAAAGCCTCTGTCTCATAGTTTCATAGTTTCTAGGGTCGGAAGGGACCTGAGCAGATCATCTAGTCCGACCCCCTGCCATGGCAGGAAAGACTACTGGGGTCAAACGACCCCAGCAAGGTGGTCATCCAACCTCCTCTTAAAGATCCCCAGGGTAGGAGCCAGCACCACTTCTCTTGGAAGTTGGTTCCAGATCCTAGCCGCCCTGACCGTGAAGTAGCGCCTCCTGATATCTAGCCTAAATCTACCCTCTACCAGCTTGTGACCATTATTCCTGGTCACTCCTGGCAGTGCTTGGGGGAACAGGGACTTCCCCAGTGCCTGCTGATCCCCCCTGACTAGTTTGTAACAGGCCACTAGATCCCCCCTCAGCCTTCTCTTGTGGAGGCTGAACAGGTTCAGGTCCCGTAGCCTCTCCTCATAAGGCCTGCCCTGCTGCCCCTGATCATATGAGTGGCCCTCCTCTGGACCCTCTCCATGTTGTCCTGCAAAGACTTCTCACAAAGGGCAAGTTATACACATGCCCTCGTATGTTGACAGTTTTGAGAGTTTGTGCAATAACAACACTAAGTTTCTTGGTTTTGAATTCTTTTTCTTCCAAACTACTAGAAATTAGATCATTCTGTGGCATAATAATTACTTATGGCTAGTTGTGAAAAACAAGTTATTTCCAACCTATAACTGAATGTTTACAACCCAGCACAGAAAACAGTTGTTTGTCAAGGACAGAGGCATAGAAACCTACCAGTTTGCACACAGTCATTCCTACATATAGAAAACATGCATTAAATTACACTGCCAACTTTAGAGCTGGTGTTAGCAGGTCCACATCCATAAGTATCTGGCCTAAGTTCTACAGTTGTCCGAATACAAATCTAACTGGGACAAACAGAAATGTAACTGGCATCAGTTTGACATTTAGTGGGTGTGTAAAGAAGTGACAGAGAAGGATGGAAAAAGGGGTGAAAAAAGAAAAAACAATTATCCTGAGAGTATAAAATAGAGTAGGAGAAGCCAAGCAGCAAGTTACTTATTTTGGACACCCACATGATATCAGAATGGTACAAGTTAAGCTCACTTATACTAATTTTCTGACTCACAGCCGCTACTGACATCATCAATTAATTCTGACCCACTAAATTTTCCCAAGATTATGGGAAAAAAAACACTAAGTGATCAAAATAATGAAGCTGGGGCCCTGGAATAAATCAAATCATTAACGTTGTGTTTTACCATTATTTAAAACTCAAAGCCAATTATTAAAAAATGATATTTTATAACAACAAATATTTTTCTACTTCCACAAACAGAATTGATAGGCAGTGGCTTTAGGTACCAGAGACCCAAAACAAGTATGTTCTAATGGTCAGTAATTTTTCTTCCAGAGTAGGGAAGGGGTGGGGGTGGGGTGGGGTGGGGAACCCACTACAGTTATATTAACTTTTTTCTAGTTAACTTAGCAAATCACATCCTTCAATTCAACCCTGTTTTAACTTCAGCTTCACTAAAGACGAATAAATTTATTCTTACTGGACTTTCAAGTTGGATGCAAAGGTATTTCAATTCCATTAAAACAAGGCAACTACAAAGAAGAGATACAGTGTTCTCTGCATGTGTTAAAGCAAGGCTAGGATAGCTGTGTTTAGAGAAAGAGGCAAGTCACTCCCCACCTTTTCTAAATCTTCAATTTCAGAACTGAAGTTTTTGCCCTCCTCCATCATTTCTTCCTCTTCAAGGGTTCTCTCATCATCATAATCATGTACCAACATTTCAGCAGTGGGGTCAAAATCATGATCCTCAGAAGATAAAGAGCCAACTATAAGTAAAGAAAAAAAAATGAATGCTGTAGTGCCACACAAAATTTTTCTAACAATTAAAGAGAGTGAGAGAGTGAGTGTGTGTGTTGTCAACACTTCCTACGAGAAGGGTGAGGAAGGAGTTGTTTAACTGGAAATCCAATTTTATACCTGTAACTTGCAGATGCAATTTTGCATCTTACAGTTTAGACAACTTGATACAAAATTACACTGAAAAAAGTGACACTGAAGAGAGGTCTGTTACAGAAAGTCTGGTTTTAAGTGCATACTTTTTTATACATCAGAAAAAGTATCTGATATATACTTAAAATGAGCACCATAGTGTAAAATGTAGTCCTGACATAAGGTTTTAGATTTGATGCCCTAAGTATATTTTTGCATAGCCTGCAGACTAACATCTCTTAAAACAGTGGTTTTCAACCTGTGGTCTGCAGGCACCTCCCGGCAGTCCACAGATGATTATGATCAGTCAAAAGTATGTGAATACCCACTCTTACAATTCAAAGGGGTCCACACCTCCATTCAAAATTTGTTAGGGGTCCACAAATGCAAAAAAAAGGTTGAAACCCTTTAGAACTAGTGCAGTGTTTAAACTCTTAAGTTAATCACATTTTTACTAAAAGCAAAAGCAGAGTTTTGCTTATTTCAGAATTTAGTGCCATGAAGGGGATACTTCACTGCATTCAGGGTCGTTTGTTCAGAATGGAGGAAGACTTAAGGAATTCTAATGGCAAAATATCATAAAGGAAAGATCCAAGAAAGACAGCAAAAAACTACATATACAGTCCTATATTAATTTCTTCAGAACATTCTGTGTATTGCAGCTATGTGATCTTAATTCACTTCTACCATAATATTTGAAAGGACACCTTTTGATTTAAAGCATTTTTAAGAAACGAATTCTCATGTTCTTAACCATAGAAAACCGAAACAAAAATATTAATAGTCTAATTAACTTTTCAAAAAAGTAATTAAGGCATTCTTTTAGGTCTGAGAATGCAAAGAGACCATCTCCTTTCATTCTCATTCATTTCTACCAATTTCACTTCCAGGTTCCCATATACTACCATTATGTTGCAATGTCAGACATCAAGGAAGAGAAAAGTAATGTTTGTTAGAAAATGATTTCCATGAGAGGACTTTAAGTTTAATGAAAATATCCATATTGTTCCTTGATTTTTGTTATGCAAAAAGCCAACTACCCCCTTACTACTATTATCCTTTAAAATTAGTATCCTGAGACCACTGCCTTCAAGCACCTTCCCTTCCTTATGAACATTTCAGATTTTTAAAGCATCTAATTTCTTTTCAAGAAAAAGGACAAACTATAGTTCTTTGCTATCACCAATAATGAAAATAAGAAGTAGCAGTTTTCATTTTCCAGTTCTCTCTAGAACAACATTGTCCAAATTCACAAAACTGCAAGAAAACATTTCAAACTAACAACAGTTTTGGTTAAAAAGCATCCAATGAAAGTTTCCTATCAAAACAGTTCTTACAGAGTGCTAAAAAGCTCTATAGTACCTAAAACCAGTTAACATCCTTTTAACTGCATATATATGAATTCTTTTTGGTTACATACGAGATCCTGATCCCAAAGCTTCTAAAGAACCATTAAGATAAAGAGCCATCTTACATGAAGTTATTGCATCTGAAATCACATATTATATATTCTAAAAACTACCCCTGCCAGTTGCTATTTTCTACTAGTTCACATAGCTAAAGTGGGAAGTGTATTCCCCTTGCAGACTTTAAATAAAAAAAAAACAAAAAACATTAACTTTATTCACATAAGGAATATACAACACAAGGTATTTTACTCAGATATGAAATAAACATTATTCAAATTGCAGTATCTAGTTTAATTACAGTACCTAGTTTAATTAAAGATAGTTCAGGTAGAATCAACATTATATTACTATAGCAAAAATATTCTATGTTGTTTGAGCTAATTAGAGAAAGATTATAAAGCAGAAACAAAATACTATATTTACTTGAATCTAAGATGAGGCTCCCCCCAATTAACATGGGGGAAGCCCGGTCTTAGATTAGACTATTGGCCAAGGCCAGGTGGCAGCTCAGCTCCAACTTTGGCCCTGAGGTCAAAGCCAGAGCCAAGCCACTGCCTGCCTTGGGCTGGGGTGGCTTGTGCAGCAGGGGAGGGGGCTCGCAGCAGGGGGGGTGTGGGGAAGACTGCGCGGTGGGGTCACACGCGGGGGTGACTGGAGACGTGTGACTTAGGGGGAGCACAAGGGAGACTGTGCAGCCTGTTCCCTGCCACCCCCCGGTCCCCAACTGCTTAACAAGGGCTCTGGCTCCAACCTTGATACCAACACTGCCAGGCAGGGCCTGGAGCTGCTGCCACTGCTTATGCTTGGCTGGGCCTGATGCCACTAAATGCCCTGGAGCTACAGCCACTCAAAAAGAAAGTGGCTGGTGGGGGGTGTGGGCAGAGATCAGAAACAGGCAAGGGGTGTGGGGAAGAGCCAAGGGCAGAAGCCTGGTCCCTGGCTCCCTGCTGCTGAAAACAGCCGCATGTGGGACCAATTTAAGATGACCCTCAATACCCTGATCCTATACATGGAAAATGCCAACATTATAAAATTTTCTATGTACAGAATCTGGCCTTATATCTGATGCCATCTTGGATTTGGCTACTGAAGCTTTTAGGCTTGGGATCTTATTAATTTAAGAACAAAACTTAACTTTGCAAGAAAAGCGATCAAAGGAACAACAGCCTCACGTGAAGCGGTGTAAGCTCAGGCTGCCGCTGCTTGGAAGGGCTGGGGCTGTTGAGGTGCCCGGCCGCAGGTTAAGCAGTGTGTTCACACGTTTTCAACCTACCCTCAGAAACTTTTAAGCACGTAGTTGAAAGGGGGATGTTTTACAGGCCTGTAGCAAAGAGGGGGGAAATGTCCCTCCCTCCGGTCTAGGAGCTCAGGTTCAAAAGGCCACTTCTGAAGGAAAATTA